GCCCCCGGCCTTGAGCGCCAGCTCGTATCTGCTGATGGCGACCAAGGCGTTGGATGGCGTGAGGTCCCCCCACACGAATGTCTTGCCGCTGCTGCCGCCCCTGGCCCGCTCCATCCCGGCCGCCAAGATGTCCTCCGCGGCTGTGGCGCTGGAGAGGGCGCTGCGATACTCGTCATCCACCAGCGGCACCCTCGTCTGCACACACACCGACGCAGAGACAAGACAGATGAGCGCATCTCCCTCCGTCTGTCATCTCCCCTCTCATGTATGTATGTGACTCACCTCACGCATCATCATGAATTTGTCAAACATGTCCTTAATCATCACCACTCGCGCCACCTCCTGCTCCACTCCCTCCACCCCCACCACCTGCAGCGCCCTGCACACTTCCCGGCTGTCGTCGAGGTCCAGCCCCGACTTGCTGGCCTTCTCGGCCCGCCACGCCGCCCACTCCTCCTCGGTGTGGAGGCCGTGCTGCTGCATCAGCAGCGGCTTGCGCTGGTCGAGCAGCGGCAGCACCGAGTTGCTGGTGGGGGGGCCGGGGGGGAAGAGGGGCACCGTCATTATCAGGGCGTGGTCGGGCGGCAGATCGGCCTCGCACACCTCGATGGCCGTGGTCGTCTCGTTGTTTCCCAGCCGCTGCCCATTCCCGCAGGCGAGGAATGGCGTGGCGAAGAGGAACTAGGCCTGTGCCGCATCATCGGCTGAAGACATACACGGACGGACAGAAAGGGAGACACATACACACATGCACGGAATGACGGCTGTGGATAGGCGTCCCACTGACCTGGGAGATTTTGCTTCTGTCTTGGAGCTCCTGTGTCTACAGACGACAGCATGCCGCCCCCTGACTCTTGAGTCTGCCACCCTCTCTGATTGTGCTCACATTGATGGGATGGAAAACGATGTTGGGCGGGGTTTTTGAACAAAAGCCATCCATCGAATATAAAATGAAGGCAGCAATCTCTTCCTCCTTGCACGACCCCCAGCGGATCGTCCCCCTTTGCCCAGTTGAGGGGCATCAGGCACCTGACATACAACCACAATGGAGAGGAGGAAGAGACACAGGCCATCAAATCATAGGATCTGTGCAGGCATCGTTCCTGTGCTTACCTCCGCAATGTCACAGACTGAAGGTTTGGCAAAAAAGGGATCGCCGACCGCACGTGACTTATGGATCCCCTCCGCATCCAAACCACCACCACCACCCCATATGTGCGCACACTTACGTACATCCCTTAAGCTGTGGCTCAGACAGCGGCCCTCGGGTGGCGCCACACGAGCTGACTGACTGCATCCACACCCACCCACCCACATAAGGTAGCTGTCTCTGCTCCGCTTCCCCTTCCCTCAACTCCTTCTCATCCATCCACCCCTTCCAGCATACTGAACACCTTCTTCTGTCTCTGCGGATGCCCGCCGCTGCCAGGCTGACAGGGGTGCGATCTAAGAGCGGCGTGGTCAGTTGGGGATCATGCCGGGCGGTGTCGGTGTCCAGTGGGGCGGGGGCGGCCCATAGCCGTGCGGTGCATGTTGTGGCGCTAGCGGTGCTATCAGTGGCCGCATTCCGGCGCCAGCAGGTGGGAAACGTGGTGGGATGGGCACGGCGGGCGGGGGCGGCTGACTGCTCTTCAAGTGTGTGGGTATGTGGGCGGGGTGCATGGGAATGCCCATGGGGGCGATCGGCGGTGGGTTGTGCAGCGGGCCGCCATAATGGGGCGGCTGGTGCACACAGAGAGGGGCCGCTGCCCGTGGGGCGGGCCGCACCACGACGGGTCGGGGCTTCTGCTGAGGGGCAGGTTGGTGTGAGGGCGGCTGATAGACGGCCGACGGCGGGGGCGGGAATATGATCCTGACGGATTCAAACAGGGCAGGCAGCCAAACAGACAGACGGTCGATGAATTAGGGAGGGTCTGCGGCATTCATCGAGATCTCTCTCTCTCTATGCCTTATGTACCAGCTGTGGACCATCAGTTCATTTAGTGTGGGTCTCTGTGCGGGGTCGGCAGCGGTGGCGTGGCGGACGATTTTCAGGGATTCGGGGGAGAGGTGGCGGTGGCTGCTCTTGGCAAAGAGGAGCTTGCCGACCAAGTGCCTGATGGATACATAACAGTGACGATATACGGAGTTAAGTGACTGACGGGCATGTGGCCCTCTCCTGTCTGTCTGTCTGTCTGTGTCCCTGCGTACCCTATGCAAAAGACGGAGGCTTCTTCCGGGTCGAAGCTGGTGTTGTACCGACTCGACACAACGACCTGAAGGGCACACACACACACACAGACACACAGACAGACACAGAGAGACACACAGACTTATGCGTACGCCCACATAGACATGAGTGTCCCTCCACTTATCCATTTGCCTCTGTCTGTGTGTATGTCTGTGCACTGACCTCCGGTGGTGTGGCCTCCTTGTCCGCGATCAACTGACGAAATACATTCACCGTGCCATCCTGCAAACCCACACGGCACACACAAGTCGGTCGGAGAGAACAAAATGAGAGTCGTGCCCTCCGGCTGTGTGGGTGTGTGTGCGTGTGAATACTGACTGACATTGCGATAGCGCTCGAATGGTCTCCCCCCGCTGATGTCGGCGATCTTTATGGTGCCCTCCTTGTTGACAAGGTAGTCCGAGAGGTTCCCTTGGCTGCAACCAAAACAGACAGACACGACACAGAGCATGCAGTCATTGGTGGTGTGGATACGTATTCGTTTTGTGTGTCTATGCTATATGTGTACCCATGGTAGTATCGCATCGCGCTTTGAGCTACCACCATAGACTGACAGAACCGACAGACGGACAGTCGAGGGGAGAGAGTGGGGCTCGATGCTTCCTCTGTCTGTATGGGTTTTCTCAGCTCACCCACCATGTGCAGATCGTATCGCTTCGTGGCTGGGCTGCTTCGGTCAGCGTCGTGACTACGATGCTGCAGTGGCAAGTTCCGTGAGAAGTTCGGCAGTAGCCGGGCACCGCCATTCACCGAACAACTCACTGGCGGACATCTGCTTGGCGAAGGGAGCATCATAGCAAAAGAACAAATGGGCGATACAGCAATGGACGTACGTCAGACATACCTTTCTGTGTCTCGGCGCAGTAGTGGCCCCGCCGATACAGCCTGTCGGCCCGTCGCTCGTCATGCCTCACGCCAGCCTTCTCGGGCACCGGCTCTCTGATGGATGTTAACACATGCACATCACACTGCAGACAGACAGCCAGTACGGTGTGTGTGAATGTGCGTGTGTTCTCACTTGCCCTCGTCAGACTGCTGCCTTGGGCGAGGGCCGCTCTCGGCCTCACCGGATGCAATCAAGGCGTCTGACCGTTCACTGACGTGTGTCTCTCTACAAGCTGCCCGGCCCACCGGCTGGCGTCGTGCTCAGTCATCGCCCCTCCCTCGCCGAGCTGACTCTCAAGCGTGCGAACCTCCCGCAAATCCGCGTATTCGATGAACGTGCGCTTTCGATAATGATAGGCCTACATGTTAGTTACAGACACACAGACAGCATGACAGAGATGTGAATGACCCGCTCCCCCCCATACGTCATACCGACTTACCCCTCTAAGACGAGCAAAATGCTGGCGTCCCTCCCTTTGCGCCCTCTGAAACATATCGATCTCCGCTGCACCCTCCCCATCGAATCCCGCCCCTTGTCTACCCTTGTCGTCAACCATCTCGATCGCCATCAGTGTGCTGTGCTTGCCGAGCCCGTCCCTGGAGAACCGGCTGGCGGGATGGGTGTCTTGGGGGTGGCTCGGCAGCCGCTCGGCGTGGAAGTAGGGCACGTGGACTCCCACGTCCTCGTCAGCATGTCTGCCGTCCCACCTGAAGTACGTCTGGGGGTAGCTGTCGTCGGGGACGTCTTCCAGGTCGTACTGCGGCACCGCTAGGCAGTCATACTCGGGAACGCCCCGCTGGCGGCCCAATGGCGTCCTGTAGGTCTCCCATGGCTGGTGGACAAGCCGCCGGAATTCGCCCATGGGGATGAAAGTGTTGTCGCCGCGTATCAGCGCCCCGAGGCCTCGAATGATGCACGTACAGCGGGCTGGGGCGAAATAAGAGGACGCGGAGGTGGCTGGAGGCAGGCGAATGGCGAAAAACGCTGAATTGCGATTTAAAGTAAAAGTAGGGTTTGCGGGGTTTGCCGTCTCTGCGGATTTCTCGTCGTGTATAGATTTACTTGGCACGTCTGGGTGGCGGGACTGTTCCATCTCGGCGACATTTTATCCGCCGCACAGCGTACTTTGACAGAGATACGGATAGCGCACAAAACGACCGGCTGGCTACACACGTCTGTCCGCTGATCACCGAAAAACCACAGACACGAGGACTGACTCGGACTCGCACATACGCACCGTTGCTGTCTGTCTGCTGTCCGCAAGCCCTGGGCGATGGAATCGCCCTGCGGTTGCGTCGCGTGCAAGGAGCCAAATCCTCCCACATCTGTCTGCAGCGTACATATAGCAAATGGTGTATATCGTCACAGACAGCATCACGAGCAGCCTAGAAAAAGGCGGCTCGTGGTGCATCCATCGACGGCGGTCACTGGCTGTCACGCCCCACTCTTAATGCGAGGAGGGTCGTGAATATATACACCTCTCTTCTCGCCCCACTCACTCACTGAAGCGCTACCCACCCGCTGTCCATCCGTCGGTCCATCACCGATGGCCTTTGGGCTTGGGCGTTTCACCGTCGTCAGCAGCAGGCCTCAGTGCAGCCTCGGCAGGCACTACATGGGTGCCCCCATCCTTAGCACGGTCCTGCACCACACACACAGACACACACAAACACACGGACCAGATACATGTACACCCACTTCCACCGCCCTCCCCTCTGACTTACCCACACATCGATGTGCGGCGCGCCTCCAGCCATGTCGCCGTGCCGCCCCACGCCCCCACCATAGGCCTGTTGTTGCGGCAACGGCTGGTAGTCGCCCATGCGGCCGTCATAGGTGGCTCGGGGCTGCCTGACGGTGCGGGCAGCGGAGGGGGCAGGGAGGGGCTGGGAGGCCCGGGCGCCGGCCTGGGGGTAGTTGGAGCGCACCAGAGGGGCTGAGACGTCGGAATTCTCAACCTGATTGGTGTTCAGGGCACAGATGGGTATGGTTTGAGTGGTGTGAGTGGTGTGATTTGATGTGATGTGTGCTGACCCTTGGTGGCAGCTGGTGGCTCCTTCGTGGCCAGAAGAAGAATAGCATCAGCAGAGAGGGCACCCACTCGGACGTCATGTAGATCTGACAGACACACCGGTGGGTGCACCACACACACGAGGGTGAATAGCGATGGGTCATTCACTGTGTGCTGGTGGTCTGTTGTGTGTGAGTCTGTGTGTCTGTGTGCTCACAATGGCGTCCCATATGAACCGCGAGATGCCCTGGGGGTAGTACTTGCTGATGAAGCCGAACGAGAAGGCCAGGCAGTAGAAGCCCCGCAGGGAGAAGATTATCGGACACGCCACACTCAGCGCCATCACCTACACCGACGCATCAACGTGAACACAGACACGTCCTTGCGGGTGTCGTGTGTCGTGTGTCGGGCGAGCTCACTGACCCTCCTTATGATGAAGTTCTTGCGGTGCAGCTGCCGGCTCCTATCAGACAGCTGCCCGGACACCTGAATGCAAGCACACAGACAGACAGAAAAAGGCCATGGTGCCACGCCACCCACACACACAATCCTCCCTCCCTCCCTCCGTGAGTAACAGACAGA